CTTCCCATTAAGTCTCTTATGATTTGTGCTTTGGGAAAATGTCCAAAGGGTTAGAATTTGGTTAGGTAAATGGAAAGCAGCTCTGATTTTAGGGGCACTGGCCTGGGTCCTGTGCATCTGCCAGGGAGAGCCCCATCCTTATGTCTCTGCATCCAGTTTTCACCTCACAGAACCTTAAAGAATTAGATGACATTCACTTGGGATAGACCAGGGTGCCCTTGCCGATCTCCATGACAGCCAGCATCAGTCATGGAGACAAGAGAGCTTCCACAAAAGAGCTGGATGTATGTGAAACTTTCCCTGGGGAGATGTGACATACATGTCTCTGAACCTCAGGTAGGGAACCAGCGGCAGACCAAAGAAACAACTCTACTAAAGTTCGAGGTTAACACAAGAATGGGTGATGGACATCTCAGAGGCAGCTGCATCCCTGAGGAGCCCACCACGGCATGTGTGATGGATGACTCACAAGAGCTGCATCCCTGGAGCTATCTGCATGACCTACAGGTAACTCAACAGTTTGGAAAGTCTCCTCTTCTGGATCTGTTTACTGCTTCCATAACCACGGGGAGGCACCTTGTAAATGCTTGCTACATCTAGTAACTTTCTGAGACTTCTGGATTGTTTCCTTCCAGAATGTCATGTGTTTTCTTCCCAGAGGGAATATTACATTTTGCAGGAAACTGTTATGTAACACTGGATCCCAGTGCAACTGAGTAGAAATTTTCAGCACACAATGAAAAAAGAAATTCAAGGAGCTGGAGAGATGGCTCAGTGATTAAGACCACTGGTTACTCTTGCAGAGGACCTGGGCTCAGTTCCCAGCACCCTCCATGGTGGCTAACAACCATCCATAACTCCAGTTCCAGGGAATCTAACACTCTCTTCTGACCTTTGTGGACACTGCGTAACATGGGTGCACACACACATGTATATATATATATATATATGCATGCAGACAATATACTCATACCCATAAAATAAAAATAAGCAATAAAATATTAAAAAAGAAAAAGTACACCATAAGAAATTGATCTGGAATTGGCACAGATGTTAATATTCTTAGAGAAAGACTGTAAAACAATTATTACAGAGTTTGTGTAAAACACGCTTTTAGCATATGTGAGGCTTGGGGATCAGTCCACAGCACCAAATAAGTTAAAAAATTAAACCAATTATGAGAACTATATTTTCTGTTTGCAAAAATTAAGCACCTAAGTAGAAGATGTAAAACTGGAACATTAGAGAGTAAAATTATCATATGTTTAAAAATACATGGGTATTATTACTTGTAGGTTAAACACTAAAGGATAAGCGACCACTGAACTCGAAGGCTCAGCAATACAGACTCAAAATGAAAAAGGGAATAAGTAACTTCATTAATAAAGAAAAAGTATTGATGAGAGGTGGGAACAGTATCAATTAACATCACTTGTGTATAAGACAGGCACAATTTTGATTCCTAATGTACAGAAAGAGAGAAGAAATATTTGGAAACATAATTAACAAATGTTTTCAATTTTAGAAACATGTTGATAATTTCATACATGTGCATAAAGTACTGCCATCAGATTCACACTCATTTGACCTCTTTTATCTTTCTTCCACTCCTTCTGAGTCCCTTCTTCTACCCAACTATGCCCCTTCCTATTTTGATGTGTGTGTGTGTCTGTGTGTGTGTGTGTGTTCATGTGTTCACTTGCATGTAGGCTTTGTGGAGGTAACCACAGCTCCTGTGTGTTCATGATTACAATGGCCATGTCATGTCCAGGAGACAGTGTTTCACAGCTCTCTTCTCCATCCTCCAGGCCTTATATTCTTCCTGCCCCTCTTCTGTGATGAACTGGTACAGATACTACGTTCAGGGCTGAACACTCAATAGTCTTTTACTTTCAGCACGTTGACCAGTTGTGAGGTTCTGCATTAACTATCACCCTCTATGTAAAGAAGCTTCTCTGACCCAGGCTGAGAGCAGCACTATTCCATGATTAGAAACAAATATTCAAAAGGCAGTATAGCTGTATGTTTATTTAGGAGCATACCAATAGTACATTCTTCCATAGCGTCTGTTACAGTATTAGGTGTTCATTCACTTCCGAGGAGTGGGCTTCGTATCTAACCAGAAAGCAGTTGGTTAAAACACTCCTTGGCATATGCCTAAAGGACTCATCCTATTGCAGAGATACTTGTGCATCCATGTTTGTTGCTGCTCTTTTTACAATAGCTAAGAGATGGAAGCAACCTAAGCGTCCCTCAGCTGATGAGTGGATAATGAAAATGTGGTTCATTTACACAATGGTACGATGGTGTTCTACTCAGCAGTAAAGAGAGATGAAATCATGGAATTTTTGGGTAAATGGATGGAACTAGAAACTGTTATATTAAGTGAAGTAACACAGACTCAAACAAACAAACAAACAAACAAACAAACAAACAAACATGACATATGTTGTCCTTCATATGTAGATCCTAGCACCAAATCCTTATATGTGAGTTTGTATCCTGATGTAACAGCAGGAACCAGGAACCAGGGAGGTAAGGAGAAAGAAGGAGCCGAGAGAAGAACAGTAGGAGGCAGGTGTTACTGAGGGAGAAATGGCTAAAATGGAGGTATTTAAATGGGAGGGGAGAGGGAGGGTCATCAAAGAACTTTGGGGATAAAGGGAAAGAAGGAGCTCAAGAGAGGTGGGACCATAGGCGACTGGTATTACCAAGAGAGAAATGGGGAAAAAGGAAACATTTTAAATGGGGAAGTCACGGTGGAAGGGCTAGACAGGCAGAGGAGAGATAAATAATGCCTAGCTTTTTTATAATTTTAATTGGATTTTAGTCTTTCATACACATCTTAGTCATCTTTATACCCCGTTCTCCACTAGCACCCTCTCACTGCATCCCCCCTACCCCACCAAATTTCATGCTTTCTGTCATTATGCAAGTCAGGATAGTGTCCCCAGATGTCCCTCAGTGCAAGTTCATCCACTGGGGTATAGTCAGTTTATCTAGTCACTCCCTTAAAGAAGATCAGCTCTTTCTTACCCAGCTGTATTCAGCTGCCCAATGATTCTTCGGCTAAGATTGGGGCCTGCTTTCCATTTCCATAGTTCTCTGCTGGCCACAAATGGCCAAAACATAGAAAATAAGAGACTGAAGAGTGTAGGTTTAGACAGGACTCCTGTGTTAAACTGAGCCCACCCAGGGCTCAGGGACCACTGCAGAAGAGGGAGTGGAAAGATTGTAGGAGCCAGGGAAGGAGGTGTGTGACCATATGGAAAGACAGCTTTAGGAACTTGCCCTTGCTTATATGAACTTGCAGCAATGGTGACAGAATGCACAAGACCCATGCAAATTCAAACAGACACCCCCCCATTTCAATAAGGATCAAAATTCAAATTAAAACACTTGCATGTCTTTGGACTGAACACTCCTTACACTAACCCTGAAAGAAAGGACGTTTGCAACATCCCACCCTGAGGAAGGGAGGGTGTTACCTGCTTAAGGTTGATTATTGATAAATGCTATTCCCTCCCCTATATATTAAAAGGAAAACGGTGACTTTCCTGCAGTGAGTGTTAATACTTTGAGCCTTGAGGCCAAAATCTGTGGTGTAGTGCTAGAATCTGTAGTGTGGTTAGGGGACCAGAGGGGCTAAAGAGAAAGCATGGGGAAGTTTAGGTGGAGATAGGTGAGGGGAGCTGCATCTTAGAGCAATAAGGAAGTGAGAGGAAGGAAGTTACCAGCAACTAAACAGAAGCCTGTGGCAAGAGGAGATTAACTTCTCTCTGCAAGTAAGTTAGGCCTTGTTAACACCTTCCCCAAACCCTCTTTCCTGGTACTGTCTGCGATGGCCACATTCAATTTTTAAATCAACTCAGGTAGAAGGTGGGCACCCTCATCAGTTTCCTTCCGCTTCATCTTGCTGTGCCCTAGGTCTCAGCACAGTCCAGGCTCAGTGAGACTCAACCCTCTCTGGTCATCACCCTCCACCACGCTGAGTCCTTCCACGACTCCCCATCTTCCTGCAATATCACACAGTATCTCTTCTTGACATTCAAGGTCAGCTGAGCTAATCTGTCCCCCAATAAACTCATCTCATTCCTACGAGGTAAACTCAGCCCAGGTCGCCATTTGCTCCTGTCAGACACATACCTTCAGTCACTCACACATTTATCTCTCACACTTGACTTCCCAAACCAATAAGAAACTATCAAAGACTTTTCCAGTCTCCTCAGGGTTACAAGGGCAGAGAAGTCTTTCCTTCTTGACCCACTCAGCTGCAAGGGTGTACATTAGCTAAGTTTTGTGTTACGGGTGCAGTAAACCCACAGCCCTTAGAACCTTGATGGACCATCATATAGATTCAGATCATGGAGTTTTGTCACAGTTTCCTGTCATTTACAATCCTTTACCATTCATTCTCCCATGTGGTGGTGGTCTGCTGGAAATAGTGACATGTTCAAGTGTTCCTTTGTTCAAAGATTTCCCCATCAAAGTAAAGATGAAACACAAGAATACATACATTTTGTGCTCAGTGTGCCTGCCCTGCCCTGTCAGTCTGCACATTCCCAAATATCTTCAGAGTTGGAGATATGGTTGGAGGTAAGGACTGCACAGTGTTGTGGATATGGGGAGGATGGAGGGAAAACCACATGTGAAGGCTCTTAGTGCCGCAAACAGCCCTCGGTCTCACTCACTTGGCAGTGGTTTCTTAGGAAGAGATGAGATATATTTGCAGCTAGGGAGAGGAGGCAAACTGGGGCTGAGTTAGGTCCGTGTTCGCTGGAAGTTGGGCACCCAGCTAAGCTGCAGCTGTGTGCAAACATCCTACTGACCCTTGGGTGGGACACTTCCCCTATTTATTTTCTTCCCAGTACTGTGTATGCAACCCAAGCCAAAGCATTTCACCAGTCATGTAATTCTATATTTCCTCTTCCTGACGTGACAGCCTGTGACATAAATTCAGTGCCTATAGTTTTTACCCTGTGAGGCGATCTATCCTCACAGTCACTGTGCCATCATCTGTTTCCACAGCTGGGTCCCCTGGAAGGAGACGTCATGATTCCCACTCTCATAGTGCTGCTCTGTCTTGGTGAGATTTGAAGGGTGGAGGGGGCATCCAAGTCTGGGAGGCACCTCAGGCCACAGTCAGGCTCTGGTTCATCAGATCACCTCAGAGCCTCGATTGGCTGTGGAGAGGAGAGGACCCGTTCAATCTTCAGGGAGAATCTTCTCACAGAGAACTCTCTTCCAGGGCTGAGGCTGGGACCCAGGACCACATTGGTGGCAGGTGAGTCAGTCCCCTGCCTTGTCAGATCCTGCTTCCACACTGAGAACAGAAGACCACTCCTGAGCACTGTGTATGGACAACAGCAGGTGTGGGCTGATGCTGGGATGCCTCAAGGGTCCTGGGACTCAGAGGTGGAATAAAGGAGAGGAGTACCCTGGGACACGGTGTTTGATTTCCTTGCAGGTTCGCTCCCCATACCCACCATCTGGGCTGAGCCAGGCACTGTGGTCACAAAGGGGAAGCCTGTGACCATCTGGTGTCTTGGGACCCAGGAAGCCCAGAAGTACTATCTGTGTAAAAAGGAAAGCTTAAAACCCCAGGAGATGTACATCCCATTGGAGCCTGGGAACAAGACCAACTTCTCCATCCCATTCATGACGGAGTACTATGCAGGGCTATATCGCTGTTGCTATCAGAGTCCTTCTGGCTGGTCAGAGTACAGTGACAGCCTAGAGTTGGTGGTGACAGGTAAGAAGACCTCCATGGGTCCCAGACCCAGGTTATGACCTCAGGAAGGGGTCTGCTCTCAGGGGCAACTCCCTCTCACAACTGGGTCTTTGGACAACAGGAGAGGGGTTCCCTATTTAACATGATGCCTCCTCTTCTAGGTTTCTATGGCAAGCCCAGCATCTCAGCCCTGCCCAGCACCCTGGTGACTCCAGGAAGGAATGTGACCATCCAGTGTAGCTCACAGCAAGGGTATGGAAAGTACATTCTGACCAGTGATGGAGAGCAGAGTGGATCCTGGGTCCAGGACTCCCAGCGACAGTCCAATGGGCATTTCCGAGCCCTGTTTCCTGTGGGCCCAGTGACTTCCAACCCAAGATGGGAATTCAGATGCTATGGCTACTACCAGAGAACTTCCCATGTGTGGTCAGTGCCCAGTGATGCCCTGCAACTTCAGCTGTTGGGTAAGGAAACCCCATTTGTGGCATAATTATGTGAGGCCTTAAACTCTTTGGCAAGAGTCCCGTTCCCAGAGGAGTCCCATGTGGCTGAGGGGAGCTCAGGGCTCTTGACCCAGTGACACAGAGTATGGGAGACAGTGAGACCTGCAGGAATGGATGGGAAGCAGAGGTGTTTGGCAGGAACTAGGCCCTCAGTCCCCAGTCCATCTGCTCTCCAAGGCCATCTAGAGAGCCTTCCATTCCGCCCTTCCACTGTCAATGCTGACATTGGCTGCAACAGATCTTTCTGTCCAATGAAGGGAGATGTGACCTCCCACAGGTACCTACCTTGAGAACTGCCCCAGGCTGGACTCTCTTAGGCTGTCACCTAGAACCCCATGAGCAGCTCCCACACTGCTCAAGTACACAAGCTATGGTTACACCATCTCCTCCATGTGGTCATCCCTTGAAGACCCTCTGGACATTTTGAGCACAAGTAAGGAGACCTATGGGTCCAGCCAGAGATCACAATGTTGCACAGACCCTGCTGGGGGATCCCAGGGTGTGATGACTGGGATGAGATATGAAGGTATCAGAGAAGAAGAGAAGCACAGAGACAGGAGTTATAGGGGTGTCAATGAGGGAGAACAAGTAGAGGAGGCATGCATGCACAGAGTCGGAAAACAGACAGAAACAGCTTCTCAGAGATGGACTCTGGAGAGGTCTCAGCTCAGAACAAGGTGGCCAGTCCTTCACCCAGCCTCTGTAGGACAACTCTCTGTCACATCCATGTTTTCAGTGCCAGGCCCCAAGATGTCCTGAGAAGAGGGTGTCACCCTGCCATGCTAGTCATAGAGTTTGGGAGACTCTTTCCGTGCAACAAGCGAGCAGCCAATTCCACCCCTCCCCATGACTAAGATCAGACTTGAGGTCAGTACCAGGCAGAATTGTCCATGAGTGCTGTGACATAGAAGGACAGTCTTCTGTATGTGCTGATGGCAGGTGGCAGATGAGAAAGCCATGGGCATCCACAGTTAAACAAGGAGACATGCTGGGATGTGGTCTTCTAGGTCTCCATACTTCTGACCTCCAGGGCTTCTGATGTGGGATATGTCCTCCTCCTTCTGCATCCCCAGCCCTATCTAGACTGTTTTGCTTCTCTCATTAGCTATGATTTGAGGAAGAAAAAGCCATGGGAAGTTGAGGATGCATGTGACTTTACCCATAAGATCTCAAGTTGGAAACCACAGAATTATGAAAACTTCAAAGATTTATGAAATCTTGTTAATTTAAAAACCACTCTCTTTTCTATATCAGAACCGTTATTTCGATCTGTGTCTGCTCACTGGAATGACTTGGGAAATCACTGCCCAAGACATCTTGTCTTAAAGTCAGTTTTTCTCTACTCTGCATTTTTCTGTTTACACTTGACTGGGATTTCTTGCTTTTATGATACTGTGAAACAATATGTAAAATTTAATTTGAGATACATGGAGTTCTATCTTTACATTAAAAATATTTTATTTAGTTTTTTAATTTTGTGTATGAGTGTATTGCCTGCATGTATGTGCACGCACCCATGTCGTGCAATGCCACAGAGGTCAGAAGAGGGCGTCGAATTCCCCTGGAACTGGAGTTAAGGACAGTTTGTAGCTGCCATGTGGGTGCTGGGAATCGAACCTGGGTCCTCTGCAAGAGCAGTCAGTGCTCTTAACCACTGAGCCATCTCTCCAGCTCTCTCTTTCTTTACATTTTTTTATTGAGCTTTTGTACAATTCATACAACAGTTCTTAATCAAATTTAGACCCCCTTCCCAATTCATGCCTCCACCACCCCTAACTGGACTTCACGCATTCTGCCATACATGTTAAGTCTTATCTGGTCAAGCATCTGTACCAAGATGTCCCTCGGTGCACATTCATCCACTGGAGTCTAGTCAGCCCATCCAGAGATCATAAGGCATACTCTCCTTCACTCAGCAGTAATCAGTCTCCAGGAGTTCTCAGTCTAGGGCTGGCCCACCGTCCATTTCTCTTGTTCCCCTCTGGGCCCTTGTCTGATTGAGTTGGCATGGGTCCTGTGCTCGATGCCACTATTGCCACAAGTTCATATGTGTAAACTTCCAGTGATCTGAAAGCCTCTGCTTCCCTGTGTTCATGAACCAGCCCTGGTGCTTACAATCTTTCCAGCTCCTCTTTAGTAATGATCCCTGTACCATGTGTGGGTGAGGTTTAACATAGGAGTCCCATCTAAGGGTACACATTCCATAGTCTCTTATTCTTTAAAAGTTGACCAGTTGTGGCCTTCTGTGTTCGTTGCACTCTGTTGTATAAGGAAGCTTCACTAGTGAGAGTTGAGGGATGCACTAGCTTTCTCTCTACCCCACGGTCTGCTATGTTACATGAGCCTTAGTTGTAGAGGTTCAACTGTAGATGTGTCACCTAGGACTGGGTATCTCTCAGAGTTCTATCTTTAAATATGTGTTTTGATTTCTCTTCCTGCTGTTATGATAAATACACTGGCAGCCAGCCTGGTCTACATAGTGAGTTCCAGGACAGCTGGGGCTACAAGGAAACCCTTTCTCATAAAGACCAAAAAAAAAGCAAAACAAACAAACAAACAAACAAACAAACAAAAACAAACCAAAAAGCACCTTAGGGGAGAAAGTTTATTTGGCTAAATGCTCACAGTTAATACTTGGAAGTTTGATCAGTTATGAGTCTACATTAACCAGTATGCACTGCAAAAAGAAGCTTCAACCAAAGTTGTGAGCAGCACCGGTCTATGGATGCAAACACACATATTTAGAGTACAATTTGACAGGATGACCATCTAGCAAAATAACAACAGTTGTTTTCCTTCAGGGTCTATGATCTCCACAGTCATGGGCTTTTGTCCATGTTTACAGTACTAGGAATTAAATCTCTCTTGCGCATCAGGCCTC